GCCTGCCCAGACTCACTATGGCAGCCCAATAAAGCTGGAAGGATACAGAAATGCTGGCAAGTATAACTGATTGTGGGAGAAGTCGGAAAGGGGCTACAGAGGAAGATTGGTACTGGGATTTAAAGCCAGGTGTGGCAGCCATACCAGGTCAGGACCACACAGCTTTGGGGGAGTTGGGGCCATGAGGCTTTGGCAGAGGGAGACCACTCGGCTTGGGTAAGAGTTAGGACCACTTGGCTCTGGGGTGGTCCCTTTTGCTACGTGGCTTAGGCAGCAGGGGAGACCTTGCTGGGAAGAAAAGGGGTGAAAGGACTCTTGCTGGTGGGCCATGAGAAGGTACCACATGGCTTTGGATTAACTGGAGATCATGGCAGCAACACAACTGATGGTGCGGGGAGCCCGAATCACAGACTTCTACTTCTTCTCCTGAGATATGGTACCTCAGACTGGGCAAGGGGGAAAAGAAAGGACTGTGTGTGTTTGTGGGTATTCTAAAGAACTTTAGTATTTTAATGAAGGCATGAAGTCATTACTCTAAGTCTGTACAATTTTTAAATAAATAATCCCTTTCCTTTTCACCAGACGTCTCTGGAATTGAGAGACATCTTTCCTCTGGTGACAGGAAGAGTGAACCTAGTACTGTAACAGGGTGCAGCCAAGAGGGGAGCCCCAAATAGGGATTTGTAATGGGGTCCAGAAGAGCTTGGAGATAATTGGCTCCACACCACAGGGCCACACCTGCCCAGAATGCGGGCAGCTGTGGCCAATTGTGAGAGGACCCAGAAATGGGGCTGCAGAGGAAGATTGGCGCTGGGATTTAAATGGAGGCACAGGCGCCATTGGGTGTCTCTCTTTTTGGGGCCACGCGTCTGTTTAGGACCACGCGGCTTTGGTGTCTTGGTTGGGACCATACAGCTTGGGTGAGAGTCAGGACCATGAGGCTTTGGAAGTGCTCCCTTTTGCCACATGGAGGGTGCTGGAAGGACTGTGTGCATTTGTGGGGAACTTTAGTTTGTGTTATTTCAAATGAATAATAAATTCCTTTCCTTTTCACAGATCTCTGACATTGAGAAACATCTTTCCTCTGGCGGTGGACATAACGAACCTGGGGGGTTCCTTTTGGTAATAGTATATCGTACCAGGCCCCCCTTGTTGTTCTGTAACAGTACGGGGGGGACCCCCGGAGGGAAAAGAGGGGGTCCTTTTGGTAATAATATATCGTTCACCACCCCCCCCAGTCTGTTCTGTAACACATCAGCCACCTAATCACACCCAGAAAGGTGAAAAGAAAACAAAATGGGGAAGGGAGCCGAGAAGTGAAATGATTTGGTAGAAAACTTGTTTCTGAACAGTTTTGGAACAATGGAGCTGTGGATAATGGTTTGGTTAGCGTGCTGCTCCCAGGTGGCCCCGGTCTGCTCACTTACAGTTCCGGTGAGCCCAGGTGGCAGTAAGGGAACCTGTGCCCTGGTTTGGGGAGGAAGCAAACCCCTAGGCTCTGTAAGCCGACCCTGCCTGTATGTTGGGGATTGGACACCAAGCCACGTGGGTGTGCTGCCATTTTGGATAAAATGGAGGATGAGTCACGTGAGTGCCCCACCGTGGGGGATGGGGCATGCGTGTGTGTCGCCATCTTGGATGACCCAGCGTGCATGGGCGCTGCCATGTTGGATGATGGGTCAGGTGAGAGTTCCGCCATCTTGGAACTGGGCAAGGTGGTGGGCCAAAGGTTCTCTTCAGATTACGGGCTGTGCTCCTGCTGTGTGGGCACTGCGCCAGTCAGGTTCTCTGTGCAAATGGTTCTCATAGGGCTCTGGTTCTGAAGGACATGAACTGGGCTCCAAGGGTGAGCATCTGATCTATAGGGTGTTTGCAAGGTCTAAGCTTCAAAAATCTGCAGGATGTCCCTGTGAATCTAGGGACTTTTGGTGGAAGGTGCCTATAGTGCTAGGGACTTACAGCTGCCAGATACTGAGTTTAAGCATAGTCTTCCCAGAGTGGGAAAGGAACAGGGGTTAAAAGTGAGTTATGGTTAAATCTGGATGGGTAAAACTATGTAGAAAAAGTTGTGCAAGTTTTAAACCTGGAGGAAAGGAAACCTCAACTACTCCTTTTCTGGTTTTATGGGAAAGGAGCAAGTGTCTGCCATTGGTTTTGTTTCTGATCAGAAATCCTCTGTACCTGTAGACCTGTTTAAGGCCATCTGTAAGACCTAGGAAAGGTTGCCTGTAACTGGTTGGGGAGCATACCTTTGCCACTCGGGACCCAGGAAGGGTCATTCGGGGCTGATGCTGTTTCAGCCCGAGGCAAAGGAGCACGTCTCGGCCAAGAGACCGGGCCCAAGAGAGAATGCCTCTGCCTGCATACTCTTCTTATGGAACTCTGTCTGTGTTTTGGATTTTGCTCTGTATCTGCTCTGAAAAGGAAATTGACGATTCCAGGGAAAGTTAAAACTTCACACTCTGTCAGAAAGTGAACAAGGGAAAACATAGATATGTAAATGAAGAACGTATATAAAAGGCTATCAGAGGGAAAAGGATTTTCCTTCACACTTTGTATTTTTGGTCCAGCCTGAAACACAGTGAGCCTTTTATTATAGCTCAAGAAATAATCTATTTAATTATTGTCTCTCATCCATTAATGTCTTCTACTCCTTCTAGAACAGGGGTGTCAAACTCATTTTCACTGTGGGCCACATGCCTTCAAAGGGCTGAATGTAATTTCAACTCCTTAACGGTTAAGGAGTAATGATATTTATACGGTCGTAAAATTATTTCAGCCCTTTGAAGGCAACCATGAGGCTAATGTGGCCCCTGGTGAAAATGATTTTGACACCCCTGTTCTAGAATTCTAGGTATTTACATTTTGTTATTCTTGATTCATATTTATATTTTTGCTGCTTGTTTTATTTTTCAAATCTGTTTTGGATCTCAAGAAAGACCACCTCTTCCTTCAGTTCATTCAATTATTTTTAAGAGAAATCATGTTATGGCCTCAGAAAGTGCTTTTTCACTCTCCCTCCTTGAATTTCTTTAATGAAATTACCTTTTATCTTAATTATCTTCTTTCACCCCTAGTACCTATATGTCACTGAATGTTCAGATTGTTCTGACTGATCATCTCTGGCTGCTGGTCCGTTGACATGGGATTTGTATACCCAGATCAGGTCTGGTTGTTCAGGGACCCCAAATGGGAGCAGTCCCAGAGATAGTGGAAGGCAAAGTGGTCTCTATTCTGCAAAGCATGGTGGTGAAGAACAAAATAAGCAGCAGCACTCTTCAGATGTACCTGAAGAAAGCCTTTCAGTTCCCTGGTCTCCTAGATTCCACCTTGGCTCCTTAAGTCCATGGCGGCCCAAGGCTACCAAAATTAACTTTGCCTTCCTTCCTTCCTCAGAGCTTAAGCCCAGACACTAATAGCAATCAGAAAGCACCCCTGTTACAGAACAGACCCGTGAAGCAGGGGGGCAGTTGAAGATACTGTTACCAAACAGACCCCCCCACTCTCCTGGGGTCCCCCTATAGTAGGTTCATCTTGCCTACCACCCTTAGGAATTATGGCTCTCAATGCCAGCGTTTGGTGAAAAGGAATGGAACTATTCAAAACTTATACAGACTTAGAGGAATGACTTAATGCCTTCGTTTAAATCCTGAAGTCCCTTAAAACACCCACAAACACACACAGTCCTTCCTTACCCCCTTTGCCCAGTCAGAGGTACCATATTGGGGGGGGGCGGGGGGCGGGAATCTGAGTCTGTGACTCAGCTAGCCCCCAGCGGTCCCCAGCACCATCAGCTGTGTCACCTCGATCTCCAGGTCTTAATCCAAATCCAAGTGGCACCTCCTCAAGGCCCTCCAGCAAGAGCCTTTCGCCCCTTTCCTTCCCACAATGTCTCTCCTGCATTCTTCCTAGCTGGTAAGAGTGAGCTCTGCCTGGCTGCTACATCTTGCTTTCCTACTTCCCAAGCGGCATGGTTAAGGAAGCCCCAAAAACCACAGGTTAGCCCTCAAAACCACATGGTTTAAATCCCAGAGCTAATCTTCCTCTGCATCCCCATTTCCTACTCCTCCCACAATCTGCCACACCTGCCAGCATTCTGGGTTGGTTTTTTTTTTTTCCAGCTTTTCCGCACAGGTGCTATAACCAGGGGAAGTTGCCTCCTAGTTACAGTCAGTGGGGCAAGGTCACTCCCATCTCCCTCGCTGAAAACATGGCCACAACTACTTAACATATCTATGAAACTAACCTGCTGTTATAGATCTGTTAAATAACCATTCTTGCATATTGGGTATGAAGCTAGCCAACTATTGAGATGCAAAATAACTCAATGGCCCTGCCCCTTGTGTCCCATCCCCCAGTTCAGGATTGTGGGGGTGAGGATATCCTATATTTTATAATTCCTGGACACCTTGAGTTCTGGACCCCATTATAAATCCCTTTTTGCAGGTGAGGCCCTGGCTGTGTACCCTCACACTCCCACACACACCAGTGCTGCCATCAGGACTTCAAGTAACCAAGATCTCCCTTCTACACTCTCATTACAACGCCCTTATAGTGCATAGGACAAATGTACCGTTTTATTTACCCAATCCCTAATCTATTACCCGTCTAAGATGCGCACACTGTCTGTTTCATTAAAGGGTGGCCTAGGGCTGAGGATCATGTCCTCACTCCTGTGACCGCTTGAGTGGACCCACGCTGAGGAACCTCCAGGGCAGGAGCCACCAGTGACTGCCCCTCAAAACGCCTCGCACCAGCTGAGCAGACCACAGCGCGTGACTTCGCCTTTAACCTGGCAGAATCAGGGAGCACCGCCCACCAGGACGTGACCCCACGACCACGCTTCAGTTCCGGGTCTTAACGTCACCCAAGTTCCCGCTGAGCGCCTAAATCGGTTTAGACTACCGGGTCTGCTTTAGCCTGTAACAAAAGGCGGGGCGGGGGGGGGGGTAGCCCCGCCCACGAGGACGGATCGGAGGAAGCTTCCGGTTGCCACCCTTCCCCTGCCAGGCAGGGGAGACGCACGCCGGCTAGGTGAGTGCTGGACCTGCCTGTCCGTTTCTCTGTCTTCGGGGTTGTATGCTTCTCACTCTGTCTGCGAGGTGGCTGTGGACGCCACGAAGTTTAGGGCTAGCCCCGTCCCTCGTGGGTCCAGGTCCGGGAGAGAGCCTAGGAATGCTTTCGACTGCTCCAGGCTCGCTCACCCCTTCTCCGGTTGCCACTCCTCCTCGCCGGACACAAAGGGAAATGCAAACCTGAAATGTGGCAGGTGAGACTGAGGGGTAAGGGGGTGGAGAAATAGAGAACAGAAGAAAAAAGTACTCTGAAGACTGAGAGAAGAGAGTCTCCGCTAGAGTGGAGTGGTGCCCTGGGTTAAATGCCACTGAGATGCCTTTGATACCGAATCTGACCGGAACCACTTGGGTTCTTGTATCCTGAAATAAAAGCATTTAGTTCAGGGACACTGATAATGAAAGTAAGCTCTATTTCATCTCTGCAGAGGGCGGAAACTCTGGCTGTCAGAACCAGCGAGTCTCACCAAGGTGAGAGAAAAAGGGTTTATAGGGTTGCAGGGGTTCTGCTGGTGTTGGGGTTTCTGTTAACCTGTAGGGTCTAAGGAAGAAAAAGGTTCTTTGTCTTTGTCACCCGGTGATTGGTTTCAGCGAAATTTTGCTCAGCAGGTGTTCTCTATTTTTCTTTCTGTATAGGACAGTTGAAAACAAGATGCCTACGTTTCATATCTTCCTCTCTTCACCCTAGGTTCTGTGGATAGAACTTAGGAGAGAGTTTATTATTATTACATATTTCTTTCTGGGCCCTAGGTTCTAGGAATAGAAATCATTATTTATTTGTATTTCTCCATTAGAACAGTGTTCTTTCATTCTGGCCAGGAAGGTGATCGATGTGGTCTTCTATCTCACCTTGAGGACTGCTAAGACCCAAAAGAGATTATGAGATTTGGCTAATAGCAGTCTGTAGGTGTCTCTGTCCCCCTCAGTGAAGCTCAGGAAGTTTAGATCTGGCACTGGAAATACACTTTATAGAAGAGAGGCATGTTTACTGTTCTCCCATTACCTGCTTTCAGAAAAAATGAATTAGGCCCTTAGAATTTCCAAAGGTAAGTAATTTTTCTCAAACTCAAACTCATGGCTTTTGTATGTTAGATGGGTTTAGATCCATTGCAGATATTCTTTTTGATGTTTAAATTGTTGTATTTTGAGATCTCTGCCTCCAGACTTCCCCATGCTAACCCATGCTAACTTATTAACTAGGTAATGAGTAAGGGTCAGAGACCACTTAGAAATCTGGTGATACAGAATGAAAACTAAACCAGTCAGTACCTTGGAGCCTCTTTAGGACTTTTGCGATAAGCATAAAGTACATACAACCTCCATATCTGAGAATGATGGAGTAGCTTCTATCACACTGGCCCTCCTATCAGTAGTAACTGTAAAAGCTAAATAATGTCCTTAAAGTAACTGAAGGTATTAGGGAAAAATCAAGTCAGACAGGACTTGAAGGAGAAAATTGCTGGAGAGAATGTGGGAGCATCTAGCCTAACCCCACATTTGCCTGTGCTTGTTCCCTCAGAACACTGGCTAAGTCTTAGAGTGAGGAATAGAGACCAAGCTGAAAAAGGGGGGCAGGGGCATGTGGTAACCCCACATTTGCCTGTACGGCAAATCTTGCAGCTAACTAAAATGGATAATTAAGGAGAAGTATTATGCCTCAAATTCAATTTGAGGCATAAACAAAAAAAGGTATCCTGATGCTGTTTAGATATCGAACTCTGAAGATTATGGAAGAAGACTTAGATGGAACTCGAGATTCCATGGCCTTGACATATGCAGGTGCAAGCTGAAACCATGAGAGTAGATAAAATGAGCACAACGGGGAGGAAAAAAAGCTTGTATCTACCACTTCTTTTCTTTACATCCATCCCATCCCATTTTGAAAACAGATTTGAGTCATCGGCAGATCATGTAGAATGAGAATAAAAATGGTCTGTAGGTGCTTGCCTAACAGACTTTAAACTTCGGGTGATGAAGAGGAACTTTAAGAGACAATATAACTCAGATTTTGGTTTCACTGAAGCAAAGGATACAGGGGGTTTAAAGAAGTTCAGACGGATAAAACAGTTGAATTCTGTGGAGAGTTCCAGTATGAGAGGAATTCTATTTTAATTTGGCAGTGTAAAGACCTCATAAGACTCTGCAAGAACAGTTCTTTCTGCGGCTAAGGTATAAGGCAGGTGACGCTGGGCTATGGAATAGGTAGGGAGAATATAGCTTCAGAAAGGTGGCTTATGAATGGGGAGGTTAGTTGAGATTTGGGATTGATGAAGCCCAACACATGCAAAAGGTGGTGATGTTCATTTTTAAAATAGATATGAAACTATCATCTTGAAGAGATTTATATGATGTAAGACACAGGTGGCAAACACAACGTCGACGGGCCATATCTGGCCCTCCACCTTGTTTTATCTGGCCCAGCACCTTGTTTCCACCTGGCAGCAGCGCTCCTTGCCCCTAGTTAAGGAGTAGTTACATTTATACAGTCCTAAAATACCTTTCACCCTTTGAAGGCAGCCACAAAACATTTGGCCCCTGGTGAAAATGAGTTTGACACCCCTGATATAAGAGATCAGGGATATTTGGTGTAGCAATGTTCTACGTGAGTTGAGATTATTTGAAGGGCAGTGTGGGATGCAGTGATCTTGAATAGCAGGGACACTCCATCCCTGAGCCAGGAGGAAAATCATAACAATTACTGTGGTTTACTGGGTTGGTTCTTTTAGCTGGTAAGACTTTTTAAGTACTTTCCCCTTTCACCCTGAAGGCAACATCATGAAATAGAATTATCCACTGAGAGACTGAGAATGAAGGCCTTTCCTAAAGTCATTACCACTTGAAATGCAGTCTATCTGATTAAAAAATCCTGAGCCTTTGGCCACTAGGTCTCACTGCCCCCATGGAGAATACAGGTGTTGGTAAATCTAAGTTGTAAAGGTGGGTAGGTAGTGGGAGGCTAAGAGAGAGCACACCTGATCCTCTCCAATTTTGATGGCATAGGTACAATGTTGACTAATGTTTGAATACAGGGCTTGATGAGAAAATAATCTCAGAAGGGAAGAGAAGAGTAATATGGTTGGAGAACATGCTAAGTGAGAAATAACTACAGAGTGGGAGGAAAGAGAAAAGAATATTATCAATGATGGTGAAGAAGTGGTGAGATGGAGGCAGAACACAAGTAATTGCTGGTTAATCTTTCATTCCTTCTCCAGTGTTTATTAAGAGCCTTACTGTGCCCCATACTGTTCTAAGTGTTGGGCATACAGTAGTGAATGAAATACACTGTGCCCTCGAGTTGTTGACAATCTAATTAACACAGTGTGGTAAGTATTATCATAGAGGTCAGCTTGGGGTACTGCTGAGAATGTATAAGGAGCAACCATCCTAATCTCGGGGGATCAGGTAGTCTTTTGGAGGGGGTAGTGTCTAACATGAGGTCTGAAATGTGAGTAGGGGTTCACTAAAGAAAGAAGAAGAAATGGAATAACAGCTTGTGGAAGTTTCAGACAAGAGGTGAAAAAGGGCCTATTACTAGGCCTGTTTGGTGATTTGGGGGGATGGAAACATGAAAGGGAGGTGATGGCAATGGGCTGGGTGAGTAAGCTGAGGGAAGGTCATCAGAGCCTACTAAACTTTGCTGAGGAGTTAGGACCTCATCCTGAAATATTAAATGATTTTGGGAAGTGAAGTGAAATGATTAGATGTGGGTTTTGGAATTCTAACTCTAGAATTCATTGGTGGGGTGAGAATGGTGTTCGGGGAGACCAGTCAGGAGGCTATTTTAGTAATGCAGGGGAGGTAAAGAAAGTGGCAGAGGGCACAGAGAGAAGAAGGAGGTCTCAGAGCTGATTCAGGGAGCCATTTCTCTGACTATAGAGAGGATGACTTCTCTATTAAATCGTTCTACTCTTTCCTCTGTTCCATCTGTACTCTAGCAACTAAAGCCAACCTCAGAAAGACAAGGCCAAGTGTCTTCACAAGCTGATGTTGCAGAACCTGGAGAAGCTGACAGAGGAAGAAAAAAATTCAGGTTTCTCCTGTAAGACCCTCATCTGTGTAGAGGTCCTCCCAGATCCCCTGGGGTGAAGTGGTGAAGGCCTGGGACAAGGCCCTCAGCCTCAGAGGAAGATGGCCCAGAGGAAACTGGAGAGCAAGTGAAGGGAAAGACCCTTCGGTTTGGTGAGTATGGGGAGAAGTTATTCGAGGGTGGGACAACTACCGTCTTCTGTTTCTCCTTTTCTTCCTGCCTTTTTAAAAGCACTGTTCTCACCCTAGAACACTCAGATCCTTTCTGTCCTTCCACCCTCATTGCCCATACCTTCACTTCCCCTTCAGTTTGCCCACTATCACTTTTCCTCCTGTTTCCGGTTAGACTGTATGTTCCCCCTGCCCCCCACCCCATACTTTCCATTTTTTTTATCTGACAGGGAAACTGCCCTGTTTCCACTCTGGGAGACAATGTAGTTCCTGAACAAACAGAAATCTGGCATATTTTCACATGTTCAGTAAGCTTACCTCAGAAGTAAGTGAAAGCAGGTGAACCCCAATACCCCAAAACCAGAATTCAGGGGCTATGTTCTGGGTCAGTGAGCCACCAGTATCCCACAGTGAAGCTAAGAGGGGCCAAGATGTGCAAGCTAACTTTAGAGACTGTGGTAGAGTTTTCACAAGAGCTGTGGAAAACCCCCTCCTCACCAGAGGTAGTACACTCCACAGAGCTCCAAGGTCCCCAACACTGCTTTCCTGGGAGCGCATGCCACATTTCACACGTGTGGCACATTTCGTAGGTGTCTCAGTCCTCTTGCCCAGTGTTTTCTGGGTCAGGTTTTAGTCTGTTGTGAAGCTTAACACATTTCGTACCACTCACGAAATGTTTTCTCGTGTTTTGCGCGCCATCTGTTAAGGACCGCTCACGAGTTTTTTAGTGTTTCGCGCGCCTCAATCCACAAGCAAAAATGAAGTATAAAAAGTTTCTGCTATCAGAAGAGTCTCACAAACAATGGGAAGACAAAGAAACAATTCCCAAATGAAAGGAAAGGAGGAAGCCTGAGAAAGAAGGCTAAATAAAATAGAGGCAACTCAACTATCAGATACTGAGTTCAAAGCAATGATTGTCAGGAAGCTCAATGAGCTTACAATGAGCTACCAGAAACTACATGGGAGCTACAGTGAGCTCACTGCAAACTATATCAACATGAAAAAGGAAATAGAAACTATCAACATGGGCCAAGAGAAAATGAAGAACAGTTTCTGCTGTCAGTAGCTAGAGACTGGATAATGATGACAATAATGAAGGCTCTCCAGAACCAGAGACAAATCTGTCCAGCTCTTCCCCTGGGGGTGCAAGGAGAGCACCTCGTAAAGATCCACCCAAAAAGGTGGTCAGGTGATATGAAGCATCATGAACCTATGTGTATTCCAGTGAGTGGAAAGAAAAAATTTTCTACAAGAGCCTGCAGAGTTTGTGCCACCCATGGAAAAAGGAGCGAATCTAGATACTTATGTAAATTTTGCTTGGTCCCTCTTCATAGAGGAAAATGTTTTATGCAGTACCATACATTAAAAAAGTACTAGGAACTTTAATTATTTAATTAGTTGTTTAATTGTTTTTTGTAAATAAAAAATGTTATAATTATTGAAAAACAACACCTAAAAGTGCATTATGATCTGTAGTCATGATGATTTAAATAATGTGCAGTTTGCCCAAAAACGTGCAATCCTGGCATATGTCTTAGAGATTTCTATGCGGTACGCAATGTGTTAATTAATAAGGTTGAAATGTGCCTTTGGCTGAGAGAGGCCACTTCTCCCTAGGTGATATGAATCCAGATGTGACTGAAGTGGCTCTTTATGGTCATTGAATGTCAGGGAGCCCCATGGTAAGGTGTCAAGGAGACAGGACAGAGTGGAGACATCTAAGGACACCAGTGAGCAATCTGAAGGGTTGGGAGACACACACAGAAACAGGAGGCAGATGGCTTTCCCAAGATCCTAAAAGCAAGTTGACAAGCTTTTTTCTAGGTCAGACCACAAAATCTAATATCCTCTAATGTCTTCCTGTTGCCATCTCCCCTGTGTTTTTCACAGGACGCGTCAACTTGTCTCCTCTTGAGCGAATTAGAGAACTGTGTTCATTATGGGAGTTTTCATGCTGGGGTGATGTCGTCTGGTCATTCCCAGAACCTTCAGCTCTTTTTAGAAGATTCCTAGGCCCCTAGTGAACAAACCCTACTGCCCTGTGTTAGTGATGCTATGAAGCCCCTGAACCAGGGAAGACAGAGCCCAGGACAGAAAGGGGAAAGAGCAGAGGGCGGGGAGGAGTCAGGTTCATACTGTCCAGTCAGGGATTCCTTTTCTACCAGAGTAAGGACTCAGAAACCTGGGGTGGAGTGAGGGTGTGGGAAAGGAGGGGATTTTTGTCCCCAAGAGCCCGTGCCATCCATCATTATCATTATCATTATCATTCTATGAGCCCCTTCACACTTTCTGAGCCTTTATACCTCCTTAAAGACCTGAATTTTCTCCCCATACTGCCTAATGTCCTAAAAATGAACACCTTATCAGAACACAAGGGCATAAAGAATGGTTCCTTTTTTTATTATTTTTTATTTTTATTTAGAGAGAGAGGAAGGGGGAGAGAGAGAGAGAGAGAGAGAAACAACAATTGGTGGCCTCTCACATGCATACCCGCAACGGGAACCAGGCCCACAACCCAAGCCTGTGCCCTGACTGGGAATTGAACCAGCAACCTTTTGCTTTGCAGGATGATGCCCAACCAGCTGAGCCTTGCTGGCCGGGGTGAGGAGTGGTTTCTGGTGTCTCTTCCTTTGGGGGCCCCATTGGATATACCATTGGGTATAGTGGTGTACCAATCCATTATTTTTTTTTTTTCCAAATTAAATTTCCAGTTTTGTTTTCCATATCAAGTACTATCATTTTGTGCAGAGAATAAATCTAAATTTACAAGGAGTATTCAGATTAAGTTTTTTCTCTGCTTCCTCTCAGCTTCCTGAGCTCCAGCTGTTCATTTTCCCTAGGAAGATTCATGAGACACTTCTCAGGTAAATTCTAGTTCATAATTCATATCATAGCCTCAGTAAAAGGACCAGGCCTGAGTAGAGGAATAAGTAACCGTAACCTCTCTTTGTTACTTTAAATGCTATCTCCCACCTACCTGTCTGATGGGTGTACTCCCTCCTGAGAAAATAACATCTTGGGCATGATGAAGCCTAGGTTTCCCCTGCCTGAAGCTGGGTTCCCCATAGTTGGGCTCTTGTCATCATTCTCAGATTTCTATGATGTCACAGCCTAGTTTAATGGAAATTACCATCTCCTGGGAGCCTGGAGAGCTGAGTTATTGCCTAAACCCTACTTTTTCCCCCTGCAGTTTGTCCAGTCACTTTCTCTCCCTGGACTTCACAGTGTTGTACTCTGCAGCTGGAATGACAATTGTCCCCCGTTGCCCAGGACTGAAAGGTTTCCCAGGAGGCAGACTTGAGTGCCTAAACGATCCCAGGTAAACTGGATGAGTTGGTCACCCTCTTAGAGTTGAAGTCAGTAGTCTCTGAACTAGTGCATGTATAAAGTTCTTTCCCTTCCTTCCCATTTAGGAAATTCTGAGCTGTTGACAATAAATGTAGTAGAGTATATGAGAAAATAACTTATTAATAAGTGATTGCTTCACATGTGACTCTCTAGAAACAGGAACTATCTAGAGCAAGAATTTTCTTAGACCCATATCTTGCCAGATATGACAGGATTTCATGTAGTCAGACAGTAAACAGTGCTGTACTTTAAAGCCAGTATTTCTAATGCCATGGTTCCATGTGTTTCTCTTCACTTATCTCGGAGCCTAGGGGAGGTTTTGTTAAAGTGTGCCAGTGCTGTGACAGCTGACTGATGTGGCACCAAGAGCTAAAGGAAATGGGAACATGGGTCTCCATAGGCCTTCCTGATGTCTGCCAGGCTTGTAGGAAAGGCCTTCAGGGCAGGTGTGGCTTAACTTTACTATCAGCTCTGATCACTGTTTAATTCCTTATTATCTCAAATTTTTCTTTCTTAGCTAACCTTGAATGTGCTTAATTTTAATTTTTATTGATAGTTTTTCCTTATAATCAGTACTTTTTTATGTATTTATTTTTTTAGATATATTTCTTTTTAGAGAGGGGAAAGGAGGGAGTAAGAGAGGGACAAAAACAACAATGTGTGGTTGCCTCTTGTGCGCCCCCCATTGGGGACCTGGCCTGCAACCCAGACATGTGCTCTGACTGGGAATCCAACCAACGACCCTTTGATTTGCAGGCTGGCACTCAATCCACTGAGCCACACCAGGCAAAGCTAGTCAGTCCTTTTTTAATGTTACAAATGTCTTTGTTGTTATTACTGCTTATCTTCCATTTTTTAATAATTTTATCCTCAAAAAACATGTTGCCCTCAGTTATTTTAATTACCTCCATGAGAAGGTCCATCTTCTCCTTACAGCTTTTCATCTGAAATTAGATACTTCAGTCCTGTATTTCTGTGGCCGAACACACAAGTTTGTTTATTTCATCCAAATTACTTCAAAACCCTGGCAACAAGTGTACTTTAGGATATGGATGAGCTGAACTTTCTTAAAGCTACGTTTGTTCATGAGAATTCTTTGAGGTTCTTACAGAAAGCTTTGCAGTGCAGTTGTTTATCCTTTTTAAAATCAACAGTTGTTTATCCTTTCTAAAGTCAACAGTTGACTCCTGGTGTTCTCTGGCAGGCATTTTCTCTTCTCTCAGTATCACCTAACTGGTTCGGAGCATCCTGCGTGCTGGGTTGTGCCGGAACAATGAGAAGGCGCAAGAGTCCTGGTACCCGGCTGAACAGACGTAGATCTGAGGCTCGGCAACATGACAGCATCACCCAGATGACCTGTGCCAGGGCCAGGACAGGGACCAGCGTCGGGGCCACCTCCTCGCTTGCCACTCCTGCCCCTCTATGCCCACAGAATGTAATGGCAGTGGCCACACTTGGGCCCTCGGCTAAGATTAATGTGACCTTTGAGGATGTTGCCGTGTTCTTCTCCAGAATGGAATGGCGCCTCCTTAATGAGGCTCAGAAACACCTGTACCTCGAAGTAATGCGGGAGAATTTTGCACTTATATCCTCTTCAGGTTGCTGCTGTGGAGCAGAGAATGTGGAGGCACCCATTGAAGAGAATGTTTCTGTAAGAGCGTCTCAGGCAGAGAATCCTCATGTAGCTTTGTCTTCCCAGAAAAGCCACCCCTGTGAGCGTTGTGCGCCAGTCTTGAAAGACATTTTCCAAGTGGTTGAGGAGCAGGGGGCACAGCACAGCCAGAAACTGTTGAGGTGTGGTGCATGTGCAAAACAGTTTTATTTCAGTGCCAAGTGTCACCAGTACATGAGAGAGAAGCCTTTCCTAAGAGGTGTTGACAGGGTCTCACTTGCAAAGGGCTGCCATTTCACTGTGTCCCAGGAGCTTTTTACCTGTGGGGAGGCTGGACAGGACATCCTTTCCAGCTCAGGTCATATCCAAGAAAAGGCTACGCACACCAGGGACAGGCCAAATGAAATGTTGATGTCTGGAGTGACTTTTCAAAGGAAAAACAATGATTACACCAGGAAAGAATGTAAGAAAGCCATTGGCTGCAACCATGCACTTGCTCCAGATCAAGCTGTCCTTGCTGAAAGACAGTGTTTTGTGTGCCATGAATGTGAAAAATGTTTCACAAGACTCTCTGGCCTTCGTTATCATCAGAAAGTTCACACAGGGGAAAAGCCATATAAGTGCAATGAATGTGGGAAATGCTTCAAAGATCGCTGTGGCCTTATTCAACACTGTCGAGTTCATTCTGGAGAAAAACCTTACAAGTGTGGTGAATGTGGGAAATCCTTTAGCCAAAGTACCAGCCTCATTCAACACCAGAGAGTTCACACTGGAGAAAAGCCATATAAGTGCAGTGAATGTGGAAAATACTTTACCAGAATTTCTAGCCTTTATTGTCATCAGAGAGTTCACACTGGAGAAAGGCCGTATGAGTGCAGTGAATGTGGGAAATCTTTTATCAGGAACCATCATTTGCGTTGTCATCAGAGAATTCACACTAGAGAAAGGCCTTATGAGTGCAGTGAATGTGGGAAAGCTTTTATCAGGAACTCTGACCTTCGTTGTCATCAGAGATTTCACACTGGAGAAAGGCCTTATGAGTGCAGTGAGTGCGGGAAATCTTTTATCAGTAGCTCTGGCCTCCGTTATCATCAGAGATTTCACACTGGAGAAAAGCCTTATGATTGCAATGTCTGTGGGAAATCTTTCACTTGTAGCAGTGGCCTCCGTTATCATCAGAGATTTCACACAGGAGAAAGGCCTTATAAGTGCACCGAATGTGGGAAAGCTTTTGTCAGGAACATTCACTTGCGTTGTCATCAGAGGGTTCACACTAGAGAAAGGCCTTATGAGTGCAATGACTGTGGGAAATCTTTCATCAGCAACTCTGAACTTCGTTGTCATGAGAGATTTCACACTGGAGAAAGGCCTTATGAGTGCAGTGAATGTGGAAAATCTTTTAGCCAAAATTCTAACCTCTCTAAGCACATGAAAGTTCACATGGGAAGAAGTTCTTAGATGTGTGGGAAATGTACAGATTTTTTGTTCAGTTTCAGTGTTAACACTGGAGGAAACTCTGAGGCCCCGTTTTTCTGAATGTAATCTCATACATTGAACTGTCAACAGTGGGAGGTTTTCCATAAGTTTTGGTTAATGTGGGAAGTATGTGTGCCTGGGTTATACTTTCTAACCTGCCCAGGGCTCTTGCCAAATTTATGTCACTACAAGTTTATGTGGCTGAAGCGATTTCAGCTGTACCACCTGCTAGGTCTCCTGGCAGCTGTACCACCTGGCAGGTCTCCATAGTTTGCATCAGGCACCATCCTAATGTGCTCAAGAAAGCTGACTTTGTTCCCTGATTTGTTGGAGGAAGTTAGGAGTAGCCTGAGCCCTATGAGATCTGCAGTTCCTTCACTCTGAGTAGTTGGGGCATGGGCCAGACCCAGTGTTGACCCCCAGAGAACATATTTTATTATCCAAGTTCAGCTGATGGCTTGCAGAAGGACTGCCTTTTCAGGGGCATGGTTTTCCTCGATACCTGTGATGAATAATATTTCCAGTGTCAAAGTTACCAATGCAATAACTGCCAGATCCATGTCCCTTTGGTTTGTAAAATAATGAAGGCCTTTTTGTTTAAGTCCTCTTTAATCTTGGTAAAATGTTTTATTTACTGTGTGGGGTAGGTTATAAGCAGACTTGGGCTCTACAGCAGGAAGAGGTAAAGAACTTTTATGAGGGTCTCGAACTCCTCTACCCTCGAGGGGCCATTATGGTGCCAAGATTAGCTCACCAGTTTTTGCCAAATTTACATTGCTGCCCACATGTTCCTAGAAAAGACTGCCGGGCTCTCTGGTAATCATGTGAAGCCTAGATGCTATGAGTTTTAGGAGACTCAGATAACTTTCAAGAGGGGGTCAATGTGACAACCTCAAGTGCTTCTGACAGCAGATGAATTTTTCTTTTGTTCACAGGGTACTTTTGAAGGTCTTGCAAAGGGCTGTATGTCCTATCTGAAATTCCATAGGTGATGGTCACTTGGTTGTAGGACCATAGGGGTTAGGGGAAACCATGATTGCTACAGAATAACGAGGATTGGAGAAGACTGCAGCTAGCTAGGTGTAATGTACCTCTTCTAAACATGCATCCAGAATTATTTCTGTGAAAAGACTGCAGGATCATTGTGTACACAGATCTGAGGATCTCCAGTCATGTTTATTTTCTGTGGCCAAAGTCATTGTTACTGAAAATAAAAATCAAAAGGTTTTGTGGACTGTGTACCCTCTCAGGTGTTCACTTGAAAACCATCTGTGCCCAGGCAGGAAATCAAAGATAAAGAAAATTGGTATCTGTGGTCCAAGGATGTGGCTTTTGTGATCCAGCCAGTGTTGCTGTTGATTTGGGTGAAAGTCCTTCATTGTTTGGTATATTTGATGTCACTGAGGCAAGGCTGATCCACAGTGGGTTGCCAAACCTATTTGCCAAAGAGTGTTGGCATGTTTTTGTTTTATGTTGAGCCATTTTTCAAAAGTTTTCATTAGTAAACGTATTTCAAGTATAGTATTGATGAATTTTGGCATATTAAACTGAAACCATCACTACAGTCAATACTGACTATATTTGTCACTGTCTTTTTACTTTACATCCTTTTCTAATCTCTCCCTGTCCTTTCTAGCTCTCCAAGTAACTATTGATTTACTTTTCATTTTAATAGATAACTTGGCATTTCCTAGAATTTATGTGATGTGAATAAATGTATTTTTTCTGCTTTCATTTATGTTGCACAAATACTTGGAGATTAATTAATGATATACTTGTAGTTCATCTTTTTTTCACTGAGAATTATTCCTAGCTTTTAATTACATTGCATTTGTTTATCCATTCATTTGTGCATGGACATTGCATTATTTCTAAATTTTGATTATTGAAAATAAAGCTGGGACAAACATTTGTATATAATTCTCTATGTGGATGTATGTTTCATTTACCTTTGTCAAATAACTCGTAATACAGTTTCCAAGTCGGAGGGTAGGTGAATGTTTAACATAAAGAAATTAGGGAAAGAGTCTTCCAGCCAAGGTGGTGGTGTAGGCAGACAAGGCTCGCCTCTTTGCACAACCACAACAAAATTACAACTAAAATACAGGACAACCATCACTCAGAACCAACAGAAATTGAATTGAATACAAGTCTGACAACTAAAGAATTAAAGAAACCACATCCATCCAGGCTGTAGGAGGGGTGCAGATGCAAAACGGGATGATCCCACATCCACATGTGGTAGATAAAAATTCAGGAGGGACACCTTGGGAGCAAGGGGCCCCAGCCCCATACCAGGATCCCCAGCCCCGGGTTCCAGTGCCAGGAAGATAAAGATAAGTCCCCAAAACTTCCAGCTGCAAAATCCAGCAGGGATTGAGTTGATGAAAGAAACTTCTGGAGCCCCAAGAAGTTCTTCTTAAAGAACCCACACAGAACTCACATATTCAGACTCACTCCCTCTGAACTTTGAGAATGGGATGGTGGTTTGAGGGGCACCAGTGGTGTTCAGGGGGACAGAGGTGTCTGGCATCAAGGTGAGCAGAGGCCATTGTCCCTTTTCTAGGCCCTCCCCCACACAGAGCTGGCAGACTCATACCATTTCTTTCTAAGAGTCAGCTTGGCTAACACTGACCCCCCTTGGGGATCCCCAGAGACCACCCCACCCAATTTACAGACCAACCTAAACTTCTTTTCCATATGGATGATCTTGGTTCATGCTTCACAACTTCCTAAGTCCTCTCAACAAACAATAGCTGGCTTCATTGAGCCCCGGGACAGGAACTAGCAGCCTAGACTCACAGCTTGACTTCTGTAGACCTCCAAGCCCAGCATAAGTAGCAGCCATCTCAGATTGCTTTATAACTCAGGCAAGGTGGCCCCAGACAATACCGGTCAGGGCTGACCTTGGCCTGCACCACCCAGAAAACCGCAGGGTCCAGCACACCCAGTGGACGGACCGCTACAGACATGTGGGAGCACCACCACCCTGCCCCTGCGCAACTCATCCTCCACAGAGGGTGGAGGTTGGTAGTAAGTGGTCACAGCCAATCCTTGCAGCTGACTGGCCTGGGTAAGTCCCTCCCAGTGATCTGCCAACAGCAACCAAGGCTCAACTACAAGAAGTGGGTGTACTCAGCCCAAACGAAGGGTGCACCTCGAGTATCCAGCTTGGGTGATAGGGGAGGCTGTGCCACTAGGCCCTACAGGACACCTACTACATTAAGCCACACTACCAAGACATGGAGTCAAAGCTGTCTACCTAATACATAGAAACAAACCCAGGGAGGCTGCCAAAACAAGGAGACAGAGAAACATGGCACAAATGAAAGAACAGATAAAAACTCCAGAAAAAGCTAAATTAAATAGAGATAAGCAATCTATCAGATGCAGAGTTCAAAACACTGGTTACAAGGATGCTAAAAGAACTTAGGACTTGAGCAGTGTTAAAAAGATCCAGTCAGGAATGAGGGATACACTAATTGAAAAAAAAAAAACAATTTACAGGGGAGCAGTAGAGTGGATGAAGCCGAGGATCAAATCAATGATTTGGAATATGAGGAAGCAAAAGTCAACCACTCAGAACAAGAAGAAAAGAGAATCCAAATAAACAAGGATAGTGTAAGCCTGTGGGACAACTTTAAGCAATCCAACATTCACCTTTAGGAGTGCCAGAAAGAGAAGAAAAAGCAAGAAATTGGAAATCTATTTGAAAAAATAATGAAAGAAAACATCCCTAATTTGGTGAAGGAAATAGACATGTAAGTCCAGGAAGCACAAAGAGTCCCAAAAGAGATGGACATAAAGAAGCCCACCCCAAGACACAACATAATTAAAATGCCAAAGGTTAATGATAAAGACATGGGAGGGTGGGTGTGGGAGAATGGGTGAGAGATGAAGGGATTAAGAAGTACAGAGAAGTGGTTACAGAATAGCCGTGGGGATGTAAAGTACAGTGTAGGAAAGGGAGAAACCAAAGAACCTATACACAGGACCGATGGGCATGAACAAGGGTGCAAGGACTGTCTGAGGGAGTGTGGGATGCTGGGTGGAGAAGGGCAAAGGGGGAAAAAATCAGGACAACTGAAATAGCATAATCAATAAAATATAATTTAAAATTTTTAATTTGATTTTAAAAAAAGAAATTAGGAAGTTGTGACTTAAACCAATTGTACCTTTTTGCATTCTTCCAGCAGTGTATGAGGGATTCAACTCTTCCACATTCTAGGGAATATTTGGTTTGATCAATTTTTTTAAGATTTTTTTATTAGAGTGGAAGGAAAGGAAAAGATAGAATCATCAATGTGTGAGAGAAACATGGATGGTTTCCTCTAGCACGCCCCCATCTGGGTCCTGGCCCACAACCCAGGCATGTGCACTGACTGGGAATCGAACTGGTAACCTTTCAGTTTGCAAGCTGGTGCTCAACCCACTGAGCCACACCAGCCAGGGCTTTTTTTTTTTTTTCACTCATTCTTTATTTAAACTTTTTTTTATAACTTTGTCAAGCTGTCTCACTGTTGTTGGATTGCATTTTTCTAAGGATTAATGGTGAGCCTTTTCTCAGATGTGTGTTTGCTATTTCTCTGTCATAAAATGTCTGCACATTCTGCCAAATTTTCTGTGAATTTTGGCAATTTTCTTTAACAAAAGGATAGTGAAACAACAAATATGCATGTTGGAATTTCACTCTTTTTTTTTCTTTTTGGAATAAATGCTTTTTGTAGTGAGAAAAAAAAATAATGTCAACAGTTGATTTAAGATAAAGGTCTTCTTTCATTCTTTTAGATGTGAACATCCAGTTTTTTTTCCAGTTGTGCGTCATTGGTTTCTTTGTCAGAGATGAGTTGGCAATACATGCATAGGGCTAAAGGACTACTTGGAAACAGGCCATTCTTTGGAGCACCACAGGGTGGCTGCAAAGGTTATCAAGATGAGGCACTAAGGGGGAGGGGGAAATGAGCCAGCTTGGAACTGATCTTCAACAGCCTGCAATGGAAGCACTGCATTGTGGAAAGAGCCCCAAGTTGAAATTTGTACCATCTAGATGATCTTCCAAAGAATAGGAGCTCCTTTCACCACGAGATGGATACAGTTTTTACTGAGTCTTTAAATATAGTAAGACAATGGCTTACACAGTTCTTATTTAATTCTCTCAACATTGCAATGATGTATTAATTCTCTTATCCCCATTTTACAGGACAGGAAGCTGAGGGTTAGCAGGATGAGCTAAACCATCCCAGATAGTGCTGCTCAGAGCTTCTGGGTGAATGGCACTTTTTTCCTTAGCTCTGCTGCCTCCACGTCAGCTGCCACCCTGCTCTGTGTCTCTGTTTCTGTCCCTCTGTCTCTTTACTGTGTAAATTGTGACCTTGTCCATTTCTGACAGGATACCCTCTCAGCTTCATTTTCTAGTTAAGTTTCCCGATTCTCTGGAATGATTTCCCATTCTTCATTGTGTATGATGATAGATAATAGCAAGTCCCTCTTTTCTCCTGCAGCCACTTTTCATTGCACTGTCCCCAGTGACATCAACACAGGAGCCCCTCCATCTCCTTGGCCCGTGGACCTCTGTGTGAGCTGTGGGGCAGCAGGAAGAGGACAAAAACAAGCCCCATCTTCTCACAGATGGGCCCCTCTGCAGGACAGAGACCCATCTCTCCAGAAAGCGGCATCCTAGAGAAGGAAAGTTCACCTTCACTAGTAATTCTATAATTTCTAATAAAACAGAAATGTGACACCACTGTCTCTTGTTGGATCACCTGATCCAGCAAAGATGAAAAGGCTTGCTAATTCCCACTGCTGGCATGAGTGTGTGCAAGTGACACATGGGCATTCTCTTCTTGGTATTAGAAACTAATAAAACCTCACTGGCTGACAGTTCAGCATTACAGATTTTTAAAAACCTTAAACGCATATGCTCACATTTCACCCATCAGTCCAAATCCACCATATTCTCAAGAGATGACCAAATTATAAAATGTACATTAGAAGATGATTATACCATTGTTCATAATAGAAAAATTGGGAGTAGCACATAAATACAAAAATATTTTCAAAAGCAAATAAATCAGTCTTGGTATATTCATCTAATGGACTGTTTGCATGCATTAGCGATACAGTTGACCCTTGAACAACATAGGTGTTAGAGGCACCAACCCTCCCACATAGTTGAAAATTTGAGTATCACTTTTGACTCCCCTAAAGCTTAACTACAATCATCCCTTGGTATGCACAGAGGATTGCTTCCAGGGTCCCCCAGGGGACAAAGTCCCTTACATAAAACGGCGTAGAACACAGCATACAGCCAGCCCTCCACATCTGCAGATTCCAACCACAGACAGAAAATACTGTTTTTGTTCCTCGGTTGGTCCACAAATGCAAAACCTGGGGGTAAAGCACCGACTGTGTACTTACTGAAAGGAATCCACAGACAAATGGACCCACACAGTTCAAACCCAAGTTTCTGTGAGAAGCTTAAAGGTAAATTCAAGTCTAGTAGCATGGCCTGCTAGGCAATTTTCACCTTTTCTTTTCAGTTATGAACCATCCACAAACAGTCAAACAAGGGAAACCCAAAGGAGTATCTAAAAGATGTGCAAGGAGCGTGGATAATTTTATAACAAGTAAAGCAACTGTGGGGTTCTCCGTCAGTAGGTAGTAGGAAGGCGGCTACTGAGTGCCACAGCAATGGTCAGTGCTGTGTGAGGGCGAAGGCAACAGTGTATCAGAGGAAGTGTCGCAAAACCAGATTTTACTAGGCAACTACTGAAAAATAGCAAGAATTTCCTATAGAATTCTTACTACTGATCTATAAAACTCCATCCAGCACGGGGAACCATGAAGTTCAGTGGAGACTTTAGAACTGAGACAGCTGAAGCTTCCCCCATCTTGGCTGCTGCCGCCATAGTTCGTGAGCA